TGTTTTAGTTTTTAATTTCTTTCTTTTTTTTCTTTACAAGATTAAATCGGATTCACCCGACCTGGAAACACAACCCGTCACCCAAATGTATTGAAAACAGGTCAGACCTTAGACAAAAAAAACAAAATCTGGACTGAATAAAGAGGAATTTAGGGTTCTTGTTCATGAACACTAACAAAAGGAAAATATTTTATCAAAAAAAAAAAAAAAAAAAATTTTAAAAAAAAAAAAAAAAAAAAAAAAAAACAAAAGGAAAATAAATAAGCATCTACTTCAACTCAAATTCATGAATTCAAGAGAACATGTTTGATTTTTTCATTCATAATATCATCTTCTAATACAGTTTCAATACAGCAAAAATCTACTGCAATCAGAATCAAACAAGGCGAAATTTTTGGAAAAAAAAAAGCAAATTAAGATCCAAAGGGAGGGATCCCACCCACGGGATCAAGCTCCCTTCTTCTCCCTCACGGCTCTTCCCAAAAATTCCTCTAATGAGAAATTACTGAAGAGAATACAACCCAGAAGATGCTAACTCTCCGATAACTCCTCTGGAAGCTCAACAATCTTGCCGTTGCCCGCCACAGAAAACCTTTTTCTATTTTTTAGCTTCCTGAAACCTCCCTTTTCTCCTTGGAATTTTTTCTCTACTGCTCTCTCAAAAAAAGAAAAAGAAAAAACAGACAAGAAAAACTCTCTCCAATCGGACCCAAGAATCAACAAAGAAAAACCAAAAAGGAGAACTCCCAAAAACCAAACCCAAAATCAACAATCGACCTCCTTGTACTCTACTTTTTGCTCTATATATATACCCAAACAACAAAGTAAAATAAAAATGAAAAAGCCTTGCTCCATCAATCACTAATGATGCCAATTTTGTCTGGTATTGGTTGTTTTTTCTGTATGGCTGTAGCATGCAGGAGGTAGGGGCGCGGGATTGGGCACATAGTGTAGGAGGCGTAGGCTCGGTGCAACAATATAGGGGCGCAGGCAGCAAGGGCTGGTTCGATGTAGCAATAGGGGGTGTAGGAGCATGATTGCCGGAAGTAGGGGTATGATTGCACGGGATCTGGGCGGAGAAGGCACGGGATCTTGGGCGTAGAAGGCACGGAATGCAGAGGGGAGAGTGTAGAACAAGGCTGGGCGCAAGAGCCAGGGGCATAGAGTGCAGGAGGCAAGGCTCGGTCACGGAAGCAAGGGGGCGTGGAGCAAGGCTGGCTCGCGGTAAGCAGAGGGTGCAGAGGTGCAGTGAGCGTGAAGGAGCAAGGCTGGTTCGGGTGTGAGGGAGGAAGAAGGTTCTGGGATGCCTCCCTCTTTCTGTTTCTTTGTTTTTTTTTTTTTGGGTTTGGGTTTGGATAATTTAGTGGGTTTTGGTTGGGTTTGGGCTAAATGGGTTTTGTGTTTTAGGTTAACTGGGCTTTGGGTTTTGGGTAATCATGGGTTTGGATAAATTGTGAGTTTTTAACTTTGATGCGTTTCACCCTTCAACTTTCCATCTCTTCAATTAAGTCCCTCATCTTGATTTCCTTCATCTCCCTTTTCTAATTTTCTTCGAAAAAATCCCCCTTTTTGCTCATGAACCTAACAAGGAAATCAAAGACAAAACATATGAGTTAAAATAAAAACAAAACTAAAATTCTATTAAAATTTGAGTTATGACATAATTATGAAATTATTTTATTATATTTTAAATATCCGAACCATTTACAATCCGTAAATTTCAATATTATAATCACGAGTTGATTTTTTTTACCAAAATATACCGTCCGATTTCGGCCTGATTAGTTTAATATGCAAACTGATTTTTTGCCAGTCTGTATATTTTATTATTTCATACCATATTTTTTTAGTTCAACCATACAAATCAAGATTGGTCCGTATATAGTTTTTTGGACCAATTTTGGGTTTATTAGGACTGAATTTTTGGTCCGAATATTCATTCCCTGCAATAGTGGATCTATCCCCTATTGGGCGAAAGGCCAGGGTGTAATTAGGTTAGTGAGTTCTTTTGCATGTTGGTGAGTAGGATGTGCTAGCACTTTTGACACTTCTGCACAAACTCTTTTGCATCTGGTTGCATGTTTGGCCAATAGTACCTTTGCCGAAGTACTTTATGGGCCAAAGTCCGAGCTCCGACATGACTTCCACACACACCCTCATGTACCTCGTGGAAGGCATATTCAACCTTGTATGGGGTTAAGTAGTGAAGGAAGGGGAATGAGTATGGCCTTTTGTATAGGACATCATTAACCAAAGTATATTGAGATGCCTTTCTCCGTAGCTTCATATTTTCCTATTTGTCATTCAGAACTGTGCCATCTTTGAGGTATGCTTTGAGAAGGTCTATCCAATTGGGAGTTTCAAGATTAGAATTGATCTCCATCACCCTTGACGCCTAGAAGCTTGGTTCATTAAGGATTCAATATAGACAGATTTAATTCCACTAGGCCTGTTAGATACTAACTTTGATAGGGAATCTGCAATTTCATTCTTTGCTCTTGGGACCTTTGTGAATTGGAATTTCTCAAAATGACACTTCAATTCAGAAACTGCTGTCATAACCCAATTTTAATTGGGGTTAAATGATAAAAGTAAAAGTCAGTGGACTATTTTTATAAAAGCATGAAACTTAAAGGGTTGAGGGGAAGAGATTGCAAAACTACGTTGTTTTGCTTGAAGGCTAAAAAAATAAAAAGGGGGGCTGGGTTCAGATGAACCCTAGCCCCTCACTTTCACGATTCTTCTTCTTGCCGTGAGCCACTTTCCCAAAATTCCCAAATTCTTTTGATTTATCTACAAATCCACTTGAAGTTTAGATAGATCATAACAAAACAAGAAGAGATTTTCGGATTTGAAGCCCTTATCAAGAGTCGCAGAGGAAGTTTTCGAAGTCGATTCAAATTGGGAGTCCTGATATTTTAAAGGTATGAATCTAGCCTTAAAAGAGGGAAGATGTGCAAAGAACTAGATTAGTTTTAGAATTTCAAATTCTAATAGGGCTAGATTATTATCTGTAATTTTAGGGATTGAGATAAGAATTTAGAATTAGAAAAGGGTTTGGGTTCTCCTTGTTTCTGTATAAAAGGGGAAGCTTCGACTTTGAGAGGGGAGATCGAAAAAGGGAGAAAATTGAGGGAGAAGGGGAGAAAATTGGTGAAGCTCAAAAGGAATATTGGAGAGATCGAGAGGGAGAAAGAGAGCAAAGAAGAAAGGCAAATCAGAAACTTGTACTTGGGGTTCAAGAAATAAAGTCTTGATTTTCCTATTTTTCTGCAGGTGTGCATCATTCTTAATTTGTTCTTCTGCGATTCCTTTTTGTTATACTCTGTTCTTGCTTCCTCTCTTTGGTGATTGGTAGTTGCTTGATTTCCCTTTAAAATCGTTTGTTTCCATGTTTTGCCTGAAATTAATCTTGAATAAAAAAAATATCATGGAATATTAATTGTTGGGAATTCTACCAGTAAGGCAGAATCTTGTTGGGAGAAGTCAGTTTGTTTGTTTTTGTTTACCCATAAAGGATTTGTTTTTCGGAGATATTATCATTACTTTAAAAGATGCATCAGGTAAAGAAAAAAAAAGAAACAAAAGAAACGGGAACGAGGAAAAAGGTAGATGATGATGAACAGTATTTGTTTAATTTTTCTTACCTTTTTTTTTTGGGTAGCTATTATTGATAAATAAAAAAAAAGAAACAAAATAAATAAAAAAAACGAAAAGAAAAAAAGAAATGATGACGGTTTCTTCGTGCTTTTGGAAGTATTTTTTATTATTATTATTACTTTATTTTATTTATTTATTTACTTGCTTTGGTAATTTTTAGTTTATAAAAATTGAAAATACCCCAAAATTAAAGTATGTGGTAACCCTATTTATATGGAAGTTTGTGGGGTGCCTAACACCTTCCTCACGCTTAACCGACCCTCCGAGCCTAGTCAATTTCTACGAAGACCTTGGTGATCTATCCCACCTCATTTGGATAGATGGCGACTCCATCCATTTTGGCACGTCAACAACTGCAACTACATATTTTGCAAGAGTAGGATCTATGACCTCACATGTAGAATTCACCTGGTTGACCACAAGCTAGAAGTCATTATAGACCTGCAGAGATTTTACCTTGAGCTCGGCTGCTAAACGGAGTTTAAGGAGCGATGCTTCATATTCAGTCATGTTATTTGTTGCTTTGAAATTAAACTTTAATGTGTGCTCACTTTGGAAATTCTTAAGTCCACTTAAAATTACTTCAGCACCTGACCCCTCGTTGTTGAATGACCTATCAACATAAAGAGTCCATAACTCTGCTTCGTCGCTTGAGTTCATTTGGTAGAAGTGCACTATTACGGACCTTTGTTGGAACATGATCTGGAACTCCCCCAACTCCATTACCAACTTGTTGAGCCTACTTGAGCACTCTGATTTCTGTCAAATCTGCCTTAAAGGTTGATCAGTCAGTACGACAATAGGGTGAGATTGGAAGTATGGCCTTAGTTTCCTGACCGTGGTGATAATTGATAAAGTTGCCTTTTCTACTATGGAGTATCTTTGCTTAGGCCCTTGTAACACTTTGCTTGCATAATACACTGGCCTTTGTTGCTTTCCCACTTCTCTAATCACAACAGAGCTCACTGCTGTGTTAGATATGTCGAGGTAAAGGTAAAGAATTTCATCTTCCTCAACTTTGGTCAATAAAGGTGGTGAGCTTAGGTATGCCTTGAGCTCGTAAAAGGCTATTTGACACTTGGGGTTCCATTTAAATTTCTTCATCTTGCCCATTTCGTCTTGCCCGCTTCATCTTTCTAAGCTGTTGACCTCAGGACTTTGAAAAAAGGCAAGCATTTGTTTGCTGATTTGGAAATGAATCTATGTAGAGCTGCCACTCGTCTAGTGAGACGCTGTACATCTTTAACTAACTTTGGCAGCTTCATTTCTGCTATAACCTTTATTTTCTTAGGGTTAACCTCTATTCCCTTTCAAGAAACCATGAATCGCAACAATTTACTAGATTCAACACCAAACACACACTTTGCCGAATTTAACTTCATGTTATGCTTCCTTAGATTGTCAAATGTCTTTACCAGATCGGTCAGATGATCTTTTGCTTTGAGGCTCGACTACTATGTCATCAACATAGACCTCCAAGTTCTTGCCGATCTAAGCTCAAAACACAATCGTCACCATCTTTTAATATGTAGCCCTTGCATTTTTTAGCCCAAACGGCATCATCACATAATAGTAGATCTCATCTCCAACATAGAATGAGGTCTTCACCCCGTCCTCAAGTGCCATGTGGACCTGATGGTAGCCCGAGTAAGCATCTAAGAGGCTGAGTCTCTCATTTTCAGATGTAGCTTATCTATATTTGGCATGGGATAGCAATCCTTTAGGCAAGCATCATTTAGATTGGTGTAATCGATGCACATCGTCCATTTATCGTTGGACTTCTTCACCAGAACAGGGTTAGTAACCCATTCACAGTAGTTTACTCATATCACAAACCCTGCTTGCAAAAGCTTCTATACTCCTTCCTCAATGGCTTTGAGCATTTCCTCTTCAACAGGCGTCTTTTCTGAGCTACAGGTTTTTTCAGGGGGTTGGTGCTCAACTTGTGCTAACTAAAGTTGGGATTCCAGGCATGTCAACCGAGGTACAAGCAAACACGTCCTTGTTCACCTTCAAGAAATTTATAAGCTCCTCTCCCTCCTTCAGGCTCAGTTTTGTTCCAATTTGCATTTAATTAAGGGAATCATTATCATCAATCCATACTTCTTCCACTTCTTCCAAATATTCCACTAAGGTGGCCCTAGTCTCATCTTTAGGTCTGTTATTTGGCAATTCTACACCTATTATCTGTTGGTTGCTTGGAGCCTTTAGCTGAGGTGGTTTTGATAGTTGAGGTGCCTTTTTGTCTTTTCGAGGTTGAGTGACAAAGGTCATATAACAATGTCTTGTTATTTCTTGATATCTCGAAGAACGGCCACTCCCATAGGTGTAGGAAACTTTATGCATAGATGGGATTATGAAACCACAACTTTGATCTTGGTCAAAGTTGGCCTCCCAATAATGATGTTGAAAGACGAAGCCATTTTCACAACTAAAAACCGAACTGAAGGAGTTACATACGTTTGACCAGACCCAAAGGCCATATTGAGCCTTAGGACTCCTTCCATAAGGACTGGCTGATTGTTAAAGCCATAGATAGGGCCATTATAATTTTATAGGAAAGCAGGATTGAGATCGAGGCTTTTAAAATAGTGATAGTACATGTTGTCAAGAGCACTTTTGGTATTAACTAGGACACGTTGAGCTTTGCAATTATTGATAATGACTGAAGTAATTAATGGATCATTGTGTGGCATGACAACACCATCTAGATCAGCCGAAGTGAAAGTTATGGGTTGGCTCTTCCAATTTGCTTCGTCGAACTTCCTTTTTTAAGCTCGATTTTGATGCTTCACCTTTCTCACATATAGCTTCTGTTGCTTGGAGCTCGTCCCTCCTACTTCAAGCTCACCACTTATTATGTGAATGATGTGTAAAGGTGGAGGAAGTGGGGGTGGAGTTTGTTAGTAACTGACTCCGATTTTATTGTTTGCATATTAAGGTCCTTGGAACTGTTGCCCCTATTCTCGTACAAACTTAAGCTGATCTCTATTCAAGATGTACTCATTTAGCATCCCTTTGCGAGCTAAACTTTCGAGCTCTGACTTTAAACTGTTACACTCTTTTGTGGTGTGCCCGTGATCCTGGTGCAAGTCACAATACCTACTATGATCTTTGGAGGCTACTATGATCTTTGGAGGCAAGTAAGCTTCGTATAGGTAGAGGCTTTCTAAGCTCCATTTTGTTCTTAATCTACATCAAAATCTGTGACCTTGACAATATGAATGGAGTCCAAGTGATTTACTTTGTCGTGGCTTGCGAGGTGTTTAGGTTGGGCTTGTCAATTTTAGTAAGGAGTGGACCTCGATTCTACACAGCTTTGAATCTTTTCTTACTCTACCTTTCTTTCCTCCAAGTTGGAGTTCTAATCTTTTGACCAGGTGTGGGCTTGCCAGATAAAGCATACTCTTCAGCTTGAAAAAACTTACGAGATCCTTCATTGGCTTCATCAAACGTGGTAAGTGGGTGTTTTATCAAGTTGTCTCAAAATCTCTCGTGTTTGAGACCTTGAATTATGGCAGCTATTCTCACGGCTTGATTAAATGAGCCGATTTCTAAGACAACATCATTGAATCTATTCATGTAATTTTGAGATTCACCTTCCCTTTAGACTAGTCGCATGAGCTTGGAGGTTGTCTTGCTTATTAACCGTCCACTTGAGAACTTAGTTGCAAAAGATGCTGCCAGCTCAGCATATGAACTGCTAGAGTTCGACTACAAACTCTAGCACCAAGTTCGAGTGTTACCACGCAATGTAGAGGGGAAGGTCTTGCATAGTAAAACATTTAAGGCGTTTTGAGCCTGCATGATAGATTAGAATGTGTGTAAATGATCGTCAGGATCTTTGATCCCATCATACGTCTTGAATTGAGGCATTTTGAATTTAGGTGGGTATGGTTCTTGAATGATGTTAACATTAAGGGGAGTAGGGATGAAGGTTGAACTGGGATGAGTTGGAGGTGGTGCATGTCGATTCTTGGCCATCATCTTTTCCAAATTATCTAGTCTCTTGGAAACATTCAAAGTAGCTGGTTGAGGTGGGTTTGGGGGTGGAGGTGCCATGTGGGACTAACCTTGGGACTCACTTTGGGATGGAGCTGCGTTTTGAACTCGGGAGCTCGCATTTTGTTGAGGTTTATGATTGGTGGGCTGATTGGCCGGATTCAACAAATTGATAAGGAGGCCACCTGGGTTATCTCTAGCCAAAAGCTATGCAAGTACAAGCTGAAACATGCCGAACTGTTGCTGCATAACATTGAATTGGGCAGCTATAGCGTCAATCAAGATCACCCCAAAATGTTGTGGATTGTTCTCCTCAACTTTTTATGCATGCTGATGTTGGGTGATAAAGGGTGGCACAACTTGCGGCATAGGGTTATCACTATGGAATTGACCTTTTACTCTACCTTGTTGAGGACTCTTGTGTTGAGTTGAATGTGTATTATCCATCTTTGTGTCTAACTAGGTTTTTTGCTCAGTTTCCCATAGACGGCGCCAAATGTAGTTTCAAAGAACTTCGAAGTCTTCTCTTGAACTGGCCTTCTCTTTGGTTGACTTGCAAAGACTCAAGATGAGATCTCGGGATAGACACTTCAATGCCTAAATTAGCAATAATCAGGTCTGTTAAAAAGAAGGTAAAAGAGAAGCTTGAGATCAATTTTTTATTACATTTTAGAAAGGACCCTTGAGGGATATTTATAGTCTTCAGAAGGGTGTCCACGTATTGTTCTTTACGGATAATTAAGGTCACATGTGTCAGTCATCACATAAATTTCCCATGTAAATATTATGTTTGTACGGACTTACTGTAAATAGGGGATAAAAGAGACGAGATCAAGCTCATGCAACTTTGTCATCCATCAAATGGGGCCAAGGCCTCGCATGGAAAAGGATGACTCTGATATCCGAGGTGTGTGACCTTAGGACATTAACTCGTCTAAGGCGGATGACCACTACCATTATAGATTCTTCCATTAATTCTAGAACAGCTTATATAATGAAATGAATTACTCATAAACTAAATTAAATAAGCAAAATTAAAAAGTAAAAATAAAAATAGAAAGGAGATCGAACAAAGAAAAAAACAAAGGAATCAATTTGTATGAAAAGAAACGAAATCAATTTGGATAAAAATAAAAAAATTAAAATAAAAAGAAGAAGATCGAAAGAGAAACAAACAAATGAAACTAGGATGGTTTAGGTAAAAAAAAAAGAAGAAAACCCTTATCAATTTGTTTGAAAACAAAACAAAACAACCCAAAACAATTCATAAGAACGCAAATCAATTGAAGCTACAAAAATATGGGTTCATGGGTTTGCTTTCCAATTTAAAGTAAACATGAGTTTGGCTAGAAGAGTTCAAGAATAAAGTAAACCAAAAACAAAATAACCCAAGGTTTTCCCATTGTGAACATGTAGCTTGGGTTCAAAAAGAACCCAAATCTAGTTCTCTCGATGAGAACCTATCTGGGTATGTCCAGGTTCTCACCAGTACCCAACTAAGGTTTCGTCATCATCATCTTCCCCATTGTCATCCTCACCTTTAAGTAGTATTGAGGAAGGGTCGTTCGATGATGAAGATCAAAGATAAAGGAGGATGGTAATCGTTGATGAAGATCAAAGATGAGTGAGAACAATGATCGATGATGAAGGTGATGAAGATTAGAGATGGGTGAGAACAATGATTGATGATGAAGATTGGAGATGGGTAAGAATGGTGATTAAAGGATGATGGAAAAAAAAGAGGAGAAAGGTTAAGAATGATGATTAGAGGGCAAAGGGTTCAACGACATAGCTATTAGATCAGGGTTTCTGGTGTTAGATCAAAGGAGTCAATACCATACCGACATGTGTACCGGTTTTGTTACTGGAACGGTACGTACCGGATACCGGAATTTTTCGCGTACCGTTTTGGATTTATCGCTATAAATATATTTTTATAAGAGAAATTAATGTAATTCCTTTTTTTTTTCAACCATTAACCTAAACCCATTATAACCCAAGCAAAGATACTTTAGATGGTTTAAGTTAAAGACATTAAGATAATGACAATCATTAAATAGATGATAGCAAATCACATTCAATTTATAAAAGTTAAAAGACTGAATGATGAAACAGATACCTAATGGTTCATCACAAGAGTTCTTCAATTGTTTTTGTCAAGTGACAATTATAAATAAACAACAAAATTAATGATTTTGTACATAATTATAAGGATCCTCATCTGGAGATATTCCATAACCTGTAACTCCACCAACTCCAGTCCAAAGTTGTTCACTTTCATTTTCAAGAGGAACTTGTGGGACATCTTCCTCATCATAAACAATACTATTAGTATCATCAAGGATTTGATTTGGAAAAGACTCATCAATTGCTACCCAATCTACATCATAATCATCTTTATCAAGAAGAGTTGGCTCCTCAGCCACCCAATCAGCTAATATGTCAATATGTCAAGACTAAGAAGATCCATTGCTTCTTTGCCCCTATAAATAATTCTATAAACAAACAACAATCACAACTAACATTTGTTTGATTTCTATATAAAACATAAACGTGCATAAAGTATATGCAAAAAAAAAAATATAAATAAATAAAGCAATTATAATATTTTAAAGATATTATACCTTTCTCGAAGCTTCAAATTATAACGAACAAACACAAAGGCATTCAACCTTTCATGCTTTAGCCTGTTCCTCCTCTTAGAATGAATAAAATCAAAAGCACTCCAATTCCTTTCACATCCAGTTGCACTTGTGCATTGGCTAAGCACTCGAATTGCAAACTTTTGCAATTCGGGTGCATCCGTTCCAAATTGATCCCACCATGCAACTATAAAAACAATAAAATACAATGTGCATTGAAATAAGTAAAATAAAAACTTTTTAAACAAAATGAAAAGAGAGCTAAGATGAAAGAAAATTACCTGGATTTAACTTTTCTCTCTGACGAATAGCCAAACTCATGCCAAAGGTCCCTGTAGC